TTTAATTTTACCTCATGACCCATATGTACATGAGTATACCCATTATTTTTATATATATACAATCTTTTATATATTACATGTAATATTCAGTTCTGTTTTTTCTTCTGTCATCTCTGAAATAATAATAAGAATAAAAATAAAAATGATATTTTCTTATTTAATAATAATTTATATATATGTATATATGTGTGTACATATATATGGGGAGTTTTCTATGGTGCATGTCACCTATAAACATCAAAAATGGTCACCTGACTTTAAAAGTTTATAGCACAAAATTTTTATATCAAAAAAAAAAAATTGAACCATATACTTTTGTTTCTTAGGTATTAACTTACAAAATTATATGGTTCAATTCTTTTTTGATATAAAAATTTTGTGTTATAAACTTTTAAAGTTAAAATTTTTATTAACAAATTCAAAATTTCCGACTAAAATTCTTTCCATAAAAAGTAAGTGATCGCTGATAATTTTCATTAGTTTATGTCGCACCAATAAAAACATCCATTTTTTAAGGGTAGGGGAATCACGTGATAAATCAATAGTAAATCCTAGGGGTTAGGGGGTTCAATACGAATGTTACACATTATGATTTCACAAAACCAAAACTGTCCTCCCTCGAAATATATAAAATTCAAAATTTTATATAACAAAATAACATTTTTACTTTGTAAACTTTTCAAATAAAAATAAACACTTTTTGATTCAAAAAATGTTGGTTCCTTGGGGTGAAAAAAAAGTAGTAGTCAGGTTTTTTTTACATTTATAGTTTAGTTTTATTTATTTTTTTTTTCAAAAATCAAAATTTTCCAATTACAATAATTGGTTTAATGTCAAAGCTTTATTTATTAAACATTATGTTTTTTGCTAATACTTCTTCTTTAAATGGTGTATTGGCCTTCAAGTGTTGTAATAGCAAAGGTACTAGAAAATTTTTTTGTTTATATGCTGTAGTAACTCCCAAGGCATTAAGTAACCAAATTAATTCAGTTGAAAAGTATTAGTAAAATGAATTTAGCATCCTCCAATTCTGCCCAAATATGAAGTTGATTGAGAGCTAAACTGGGTTTTGTTGATAGGCTTGTCTTTTTTATTACATTTTCTTTTTTGTTATTATTATTATTATTATTATTATCAACTTTTTTTGAACACATCATCTTAAGATTTTCTCTAAGGCTTGCAGTACCTTTTTCAGGAACTAGATCATTTGTTTCATGCCATGTTTTTTGTCAACTTTTGTTATAAAATGTAATTATTCTTTTAAATAAAAATTCAATATTGATTTTATTGGAAGTTGAAAACCAACTGATTTTACTAGTATATTTTTAGTATGATGTGCATTCACCATTTTTTTCGATTACAAATTCACAACACCATCTCATTGATCCTACTAAGTTAATTAGAGTGGATTCAGGAATATTTCTCCACTCCTCTATCATAAATCGCTCCAATTCATCCTGATTTTTTGGCATATGCCTCTCTACATTTCCCTTAACAATACTCCAAAGATTTTCAATTTAGGTTCAAGTCAGGACTGTTGGATGGCCTCAGGCATATCCTCCTGAAGAAAGGCTTTGGCAAGGCAGCTTGTATGTTTTGGGTCATTGTCCTGTTGGAATCGCCATCTATTTCCTAGCATCTGCTTAATCTCTGGAGTATGTCTGCAAAGAATATCTACATAAAATTTAGCATCCATAATTTCCTTAAAGCAAAATAAATTTGTCTTTCCCTTCACACAAAATCCACCCCATGCAAAAATCTTTGTTCAGTATTTGGGCATAGGATAAATTGGCCACTCACCTTTATACTATCACTCTACCATATTTCGGAAGAGTTGGGAGGCAGTCTCATCTGAAAACAATGTCTTCTTCCAATTATCATTAAGATGTTTCCTAGCCCATTCTACTCGTTTTCATTTTGTGATCAACAGTAAGCATTGGAGTTGCTTTTGGAAGATTTTTCAAGTATCCAACATCAGCTAAATGCCTTCCAATTGTTCTATAGGATACCTCTATACCTGTATTTGATAACTTTGTTGCCAAAGTTCTTGTTGAAATAGAGGAATCCCTACAAATATATTGTCCTAATGCCCTTGAAGCATTTGCTGTGATTCTTTGGCCGACCACTACCATGTGTACGCTGTGTTGTTCCCAAATTCTTGAGCTTTTTAAGGTTATCATATATAGTGGAGAGGGGTATATTTGTTCTTCTATGTATTTCTTTAGCATCTTGTACACCCTCATTCCACAAATGTAATAAGGTTTGACATTGAGTTTCTTGCTTGGAGGTTGTCATTTCATGAGTTGTTTTTCAAAGAAGTAAAAATAGTAGTAAATGTGAAAGATTGTCAAAATTTAATAATTAATCTCGTGTTTCATCATCTATTTTAAACATTGTAAATCAGACTTAAGGGCAGTGTTCAGTTACACATAATAACATATGGCAAAAATTTAAATTTGGTGTAAAAAAATGGTTTGTACATATAAAAGTTCATGTGACTTCACCTAACACGTACAAAAATTTTCCAACATATTTTTGAGGATGCGAGCTATCAAAACAATATAATTTTAGACCCAGTTTAATTAATAAGTTAAGTAAAATAAATAGTTTGAGATTTGAGATGAGTTGCCAATCCTATAAGTAAAGTTACTAATCCTTAACATGCACTATATGTTTTTGTTAAATTAAGAAAAACTAAATGAATGGTCTTTTAGTTTACTTTTTGTTACTACAGATTAATAAAATTACACTTCAAGTTTTTACTAAAGAATGCAAGTTTTTACTAATGTATATGTTTTTTATATATGTATGTATGTATATATAGTAATAAATAGAAATAAGACTACCTTGGTATGAATCATTACTAGCTTTTAACATCAACTACAAACTCTTTACATGAGCAAACAATTTAGTAAGAAACGTTTTTTTGAAATGGTTAGATATTCAAGTAATTATTCATGCAGGCTTCCATTATATCTTATATATTTGCAATGTATTATTAATTTTTTAATTCACAATTTATCCAACAATAAAGTTAGATTGGTAATTTATGGTTGAAGGTTAAGGATCTCACCCACTCACTTGTGGCTCTTATTCATTAATTCATTCACCTAAGCTCAAGATTCTGTAAAAGCTTGGACATATCAAATATTTATGTGGCCTATGTGATTTGTAAAACGTAAAAATAAGAGAAGTATTACTTTATTATTGATTTGTCAACTGTATATAAAAGCATTATCAATTATTCCTGAAAGAGTAAAATTAGATCATGGAAAAAGTAATAAATTAGTAAAATATCATTAAACTTGGACAACCACAATGCCTGGCTGCTTCTGCTAAAGGGTATAAATATAAATAATTATCAACAGGTCAATGTAATATATCTATTATATCTGTTTTCTAATGACAAATTGTAATAACAAATGGTCACATATCTGAATAAATTA